CGGAAATGGGGCGTCCCAGCCCTGAACAGGAGAGCATACCTTATGGCCCCTGATGTATAGTGAGGTCCCATCCTACTGGAAGGAATCTGTCATTACAGCTACACCCAAAATAACTGAACCGAAACTAGTCTCTTCTTTTCGACCTATAAGTATTACCGCGCCTCCTGCTAAAGTTCTGGAGAGAATATTACGTGATAAAATTGTATCGCATCTGATGAAAAACAACCTTATACCTATCGAACAACACGGTTTCATTAGCAGTGCTTCCACAGTTACACTTATGGCAGATTGCATGTTTGATTGGAACCTTGCTATGAACGAAGGGAAGGGTGTGGATATTATCTACTTCGATTTGACAAAGGCTTTCGATGAAGTGAGTCATGAAAAGCTACTTCTCAAACTTCAACAGTTAGGGATTGAATGCAACATTCTTAGCTGGATTCAGTCTTACTTGGAAGATAGGCATATGTGCGTCAGGGTGGGTAACAGCTTTCACAGAGGTTTTCCTGCTCCAGCGGTGTCCCTCAAGGCGGTGTGTTGTCTCCTCTGTTATTTGTAGCGTACACATACGAGTCAAAATAAAAATGTATGCCGATCACATTAAAATATACAGCAATGATGATCATAGTCAAATACATCAAGTTTCAACCCAGTCTATTCGCAACATGATGGATTGGGCTACTGGTTGGGTAATACCTGTGAACTTTACGAAAACATCTGTACTTCATTGAGGTAAAGCCATAATGGAACCATATATAGTCAACAACATTTTATTAAATACTTCATATGAAGTTCGTGACCTTGGGTTTCTTATCAATTCTAACATGGATTTTTCGCACCTCATCGATGTTATCGTTCGAAAAGCGCTCGCAACAATTTTTGCTATTCTTAGAAATGTTCGGTGTAACGATGCTTCATTTTGGTAAGGCTCTATAAGGCATATGTTGTTCCCATACTCGAATACGGCTCACAAACATGGAAACTTTATACCAAAAACCATCAGACCAAAATTGAAAAAGTTCAGCAAACTTTCACCAGAATATTAATGTATAAATGTTTTCCTGACCCAACATACGATCTCTACCGACCTATGATGACCGCCTGCACCGTTTCAATCTTAATACATTATTGTACAGAGGAGTATTCAATGATACAGTATTCTGTTGTAAAATGCTGGGAGGTGAACTCAAGCTGTGGCCGAGTAAGTACTGGGTGATCAGACCGCGCATAGGTCGTACCACTTCATTATCACTACAATGCCGTAAACTGAACAGCAATCATAGGGCCTGTGTATTTCATTCGCTTTTCTTCCGTGGAGCCAGATGGCTTCAACTATTACCATTAGACCTGCAAAAGGCGCGAAATACCGCGAATCCAAAAGAAATTGAGGACCTTAGACCATCTTGCTTTGTTAGGCATACAAGATTTCTAACATGTATAGCTTAAAGAATATCCACTTATGCGTATGGTTATCTGACTGTGCGTTTTTTATGACTTTTTCTGCTGTTTAAATTTGTAACTGGTTTCGTTTTCTTGCTTGCTACTGGAGCACACCTTCGTGTGTATTTTGAATAAATAAATAAATAAATAAATAAATAAATAAATAAATAAATAAATAAATAAATAAATAAATAANCAGTCAGAAACTGCTCGAATGGAGCGACAGGAAAAAGGGTAAATATGTACTTCACTGAAGTAACTGGGCTACGTCTGACCCCAAAGACCTGAAATTAGCGATAACAATCGACAGTAAAGAGGAAAAGTGCTCGCGAAGGCGAAAGTACTTAGTACTTACAACATTAAGAAGTTCGCAAGTACAAAGTAGAAATGAAGTTTCCCTAGGTCAAACTCTAGTCTGGACCTGGCTTTTTTTCGCTTTTAAACACATGGGTTTCCTATATGTTGATATTATTCATTGTGTTTGATTCTTGTGCATCATAAACACTTACTTCCACAATATGTTTAGTGACCTCTACAATGTATGGGAAACCGGGACTTACTTCATTTTCCGGGAAAGCAGATTAGGATGATGTGATCTCCTTCTTTCTTATGGGCGATGTAGTGTAGTGCTATGTGGCGCATTATCACATACATGATCTGGGTTGTGGAGTCCGGATCGATACCTACTCATGCCAACAAGATTTCAAGTTTCTCCGGCTGGGTCGTTAATTAGTATGAGAGGATAAAACCGTTGATTACAGATCCGGCCGGCCACCGCAAGTCATTATCTAGGGAACGACACATTCAAGCGCTACTAGGATTTTTAATGGAAGTCGTATGCGTGTGCGCACCCCTCAGACGGGATTGATCGACGCCCATAGTCTTCATCCTCTATCTTTGACTTCTCTCATTTCCATCTGAATCTCACCGATTACCATGTGTCCTCCTTTGAAGCAGGTTCTCGAAACTACAACAAAACTATATTAAGATCCTCTCGAGTTCACTTCCATTTTCCTTCATTCCACCACGTTCCTTGATATTGACGTGATGTGACAACTAACTTCAATGCATTACATTGAACATCACTGCTCAGAGAAGGTTGATGTAATTCCAGAAAGAGTCCAGATCGGGCTCAAAGGTTAGGCTCCCGTGGATGGAACTACTGCTTCAACCTTCGAAGGAGCGAAGTGAAATCAATCATTCGACTGGTACAGTTGCAGTGATGACCGTTTATTCGAGGCAGTATTCTACTTGTATGATATTTTGGAAAACCGGAATTTTCCACTGTCGCTGCTTTTCGATTCTTCAAGGACTTTCTTGTCATCATACTAGCGAAGTGGAACATTAGATCCTGTCAGTGATTACCGAAATTATAAGTTATAGCATCAACACAACTTGTAAAACAAATTTGTACTCAGGGGTTTGTTGGCAGTACTTCAACATTTGTTGAAGGATATAGAGGAGCACCTCCGACGCAGCTACCGATTTCTTCAAAAGGTCGTTGATCAACTTATCGGGAGCTCCACGATCTGTGGAAAGTAGAAGCGAAATTTTCTATTGGTTCAGCGCAATTGGCAGCAATGGGCATTTCTAACGTGGAGCTTTACAGGGACTCCCATCTCTTTATAGCTGATCCTGTGACATTGATATAATACTGAATAGAAGTCCTAGAACCGGAAACACGTCAGGAAGGATAAGGTGTTTGACTTCACCCGATTCCGATCTTGAGGTACACACCCGTATTCGCTTCCACTCGCAATCGAACGGGAGCTTTCGAATGTAACTTCGATTTTGAATGGAAGTCTAGTAGTGTAGTGGTCTTTGTGTAGTGGCCGACAGATGAGCTTGTGATAGCCAGCCGATGTCCAAGGCAGTGGGCAGTCTTTGTCCTCCAAGATGATTTGCTACCAATAAAGAACTCTGAAAATGACAGTCGGAAAAGGGTACTTTTACTATCAAGAGTAATTTAGAGGGGTGTTTTCACTGGAAATGTCGAAACAAATTAATGATTCGTGTACAAGAAAAGTCAAAATGCGGAAGATTTGTCTAGGGAAAGTTGGCCGAAAGCGACATACATAGAAATAAACAGAATAAAACTCACAATAACCAACAACGCAACAGTCGACACAATAATCGGGCTGCATCCGGGGTGCTTGAACAACTCCCATACAGTCCAGAGCAAGCAATTTTGATATCTTTGGAAGGGAAACTTTCAAGAAAAACTGGCATGCACGATTAGCCCAAATGGTGTTGAGGAACTTTTTCTGTTCGACTAGAAGGAACTTCTACGAAACATGAGGATAAGCACATACAAGCCTCGAGAAGTTCGGAAGCGGTGTAGAGGCAAGTGGTGCACTACCACACACACATGGTCACAGGTTCCAGTCGCGGGTTGACCTCCGCCTAGGCTAAGCAAACCTTCCATTCTTCCCGGGTCGATTAATTTGCACCAGACTCGCCTGGGTGGTTAAAAGTACTGACCTGTTCAACGAATAGCCACCAAAAGTCACTGTACACTTGCTACATACGCATTCACTCGCCACTACGATTCTGAATGGAAGTCGAATGCGTGGGTGAACCCCTCAGACGGGATTGATTAAAGCACTAACACTTCTAGCTTTCGAACTTCAAGCTCTAGAAGGTTACGTAGAATACCAAGGTATGCTAGTTTGTTATCTATGGAACAAATGCAACTATTTTGAATGATCCCTATACTTCAAGGATTCCTATCGTCGTAAAATTATTTAAAAATTTCTATTCTAGAGGGTTGTTCAAAAATGTCGAGTGGTATGATCGATGGGGTGTCAGCTGCTCTTTTACAGGATCCTAAAGAATCACTTGAGCCTTTGTTAACGCTTGTGATGAGCTAGAACTGATTTCTTGAGTAGCAATTCACTTTAATGGTTCGTTTTGTTGTTTTCAATGTTTTTGCGGTCATTAGCCCCTTTACAATTGTACCTTTGATAAAAAGCTCAACTTTCGGCATTCATCCTACATAAATCGCTGTTGTCTTCTTTCCGATTCCCTCAAAGACTCGATGAGTACAGTAGATTCTGGACAGTGCACTACCTAAGCCACGTGGCGTTCAGCCTTTGAAAGGATTCTTCCGTGGGCATTTCTTGTTCTCATGCATCCAATTGAAGAAAAAACTTTTCAAACAGATTGCCTAGGAGTATTCGAGATCTGAACAGAGACTTGATGGCTAATGGAACCAGTTGCTCGGCTCGGTTTAGCTATACCTGTACTTCACCTGGTTTTATCAGTTTCATCTCCTGGAGAGGTGGTGCTCGATCGACAGCCGATAAGAAGGTGAGAACTAGTACTCTTACTCGACGCCTCTGCACTGACTGAGAACGGCGCCTAATCTTCCTGACTACTGGCTTTCGTTTTCTGAGGTAGTGCTAATGATTTTCAGCTATCTTTTCAATATTAATGAACAATCACGAAACTTGTATCATTTTGAAATAAAGAAATAAATAAATAAACAATATTGTAATTAGTCCTTTGCTTGAACTATTGTATTGTAATACCTCGATATTATAGTTTCTTCTCTGAAAACAATGCGGCTTACAATCTTTGTGGCTGTGATATCCTGCTTGAGTATCTCTGAAGCGCAGAGGCTCAAAGTGATGACGTTCAACATTTGGAATTCCGGTTCCCATGTCGAAAATGGTCTTCGAAAAATCGCCAAACACATTCTGCTTGTCGATCCTGACATTGTCGGCCTTCAGGTATTCTTACCGAGCCTGAATCTACAAAAATGTTTCGCTTTTCAAGTTCCTCAGGAATTTCAGGAGGTACAACGGCCTGATGTTTTGCCATCATTGCTTGGTTGGATGGGAAAACCATGGATGGGAGTGGCTGGTGACGACTCATATCCAGATGTTGCGATTCTTACAAAACATGAAGTGAGTTTTTTTGAATGACATAAGAAGCTCCTGTTGATTAACTGTTGATTGGATATCCTTGGAGGCATAAGGATCGTTGTAGCCTTAGCCCTGATAACGATAGACTTCCCCACATGGGGACACATTCAGGGTTGAGAACGTTACATAACAGAGCAACGAATGTTAAGATTGAAAAATCAGCCACGAATTCGACTCTTGTCCTGAATAACACATGGTTGGGAGCCTGATAAATGCACTATGCATTTGCGCCTTCATCAATTTAGTTAAGTACAGGAAAATCTCAGAAGGCCGAACGGCTCTGTCTACTTTGTACATACCCACTACCCGTATAGTAACTTGTCTTCTGTCAGCTGTATTGTAGTTCCTTTCATTCATTTCTTGTATGATGGTTATAAAAAAATCCAGTTGAAGTTCTCCTGGGAGATTCTCATTGAAATTCTTAATATTTATCTGTAAGGAATTCTGATTTGTCTGACTTTTTTCCGGAACTGGGCTGAGATATGATTCTTGAGAAGTAGTCAAGGGTGGTTCTGAGTTGTCTGGAGGAGCGTCTTAGATTCGGTACATTTGTAACTAGCGGGATCTCTACATTGCACGTGGATAAAGCCAAAGCTGAAGGACCAGAAAGCAAAGGTTGTGGACAGCGTCAAATACCTAAATGAGACAATTCAACGAACTTTATGTGTAAGTGATGGATGCCTGGCTTGTTCATCCGTCCTGAAATGTTCACTTACCATTAAGCATAAAAAGCTGCAGTATAACAATTTCTTTTGCTTAATTTTGTACGAATTCAGCATCCTGTACTTTTTTTGATTTTTGTTTTTTTCGTTTTTAAAATTTCAATTATTTCCTTTTAACGTTCGCCGTCACCTGGAAAACAACTTCATATATGAGTGTTAGTTACCGAATTCTTGTCACTGTGTTGCTCTTTCTGCTGCTCTTTCTATATTCCTTCTGCTTCACGCTAGAGTTCTAGGAACGACTTTTCGATTTTCGAAATCTGGTGAGGTTCTGACTCCCTCTACCACAAAATGGCTTCAGGAGTCAAATGATTGTTCAATTATAATGCTTTAGATGAAGCCTCCTTCATTTTCAGATGCTTGGGCAGTCGTTTGCAAAGACTAACCGATCCATCACCGTGAAAATCCAGCTACCGACTGGTCAGGTGATCAGTTTCTGGACGGCTCATCTCGATTACAAATCTTTTGGTCCATACGCGGCCAATAACAAGATGGTCACCTCGTTGGATCAGATTCTCGCCGGTGAAAAACCGCTGACAAGAGCAGGTACCGATCAAATTTCTTAGACTTCAATCTGAATCGTTGGACTCGTATTCATCTTCGACGGAATTCGGAGCCTGACCAATGCTCTATTTTGTACTTCCTAGCAAGTACCTTTGTTCCCCATTTACTGGTGTGAGAGGAATGTGGAATAGATTGCGTGGCAGAGATTTAGAGAAAGAGCCTGTTCATGAATGACACTTCACTTCAAACTTCATCCTTTCTTCTTCTAGTGGAATGTGAGCAAGTATAGCATAAGCCAGTGTCAACACACAGCTGTTTTGAACACATATGTATGATAAGAAAACAACAAGCTAAAAGAACCTGCACAGAGAACACCAAAGAGCATTTCATAACGAGTTAGCACGGGGCGACAGTATCATTTTCAAACAGCTGTGCAGGGGACTACGTAAAGTAATGGTTATGCGTGTATCAAATGGGCGCTCCAAAGCTTCGCAAAAGTCCTCTGCTGTCACATAATCTCCACCGAACAGTGAAATGACTACTTGAAGGGCCTGCAGGATTGCTTAAATAAGAATGTTACTACTATCGTTGATACCGCAATCGCAATGATAAACAGGACCCGCAGTCTTTCCCTAGCCATACATAGAGGTACCCATCTTAGTCATCTCTAGACACCGCGTGACTTGTCTTAGGTCCTGGCTATTTTAAGGCCACAGTTCACGATAAAAATGGTTTGTGAGATTTTCTTCTATAATACTGTGATGACTATGGCCTCTACGAGAAGTTCACGCCGACGAATAGTACGCTCATGGGGGAGACGCTCAGACACATCTACGCATTTATACGGAACTTGCAATCACACCTTTACCACTTATTTTCCGAGGAAACAGTTTTTTCATGCTGTGAACTACATATGTCGGTAGTATGAACGGGCCCATTAGATAGCAATTTTGACTTTTGCACCGCTCTTTACGCTTGTGCCAACTGACATTTTGTCAAATTACCCCTTTCTTGCCGAGTCTTTTTGGGAATTTTTGTCGATCCTCCAAGAACACTCTTTATTTTTACCTTGTACTGACAGTGAACAATGATGTTTGTAGTGCGTGAGTACGCGGAGACCTAGTTCATAAGTGCTCGTCTCAGAAATGAAATAATTAAATAGATTAAGTGGTGATGACTGAGAAGTTTGCTGTGGAATTAATAGGTAAATGAATAAGGGCACTTGTAGTGCGTGAGTATGAGAAAAGTTACATCCTGGACTGCACTCTTACAATTTTATTTTACAATTTTTCTTACAAGTACTAATTTTCAAAGTTAAGCAAGCTTTGAGTGAATGTTAGCTGTCACAGGCCAGCTGAGGGAAAGTCTTGACCATCTAGCGAGGTATATCCACGAGATCCGCTGCTATCAGTCGTGATGCGCGAGGACCTACAAAAGCGAGATCTACTTAGAGCTTAATAAAAGTTCCACTCCTACGGCAAAGGATGAAGTTTTTAAAGCTACCGAGCTATCAACCGGGATTCGAAGCTCTGATCAGGGGTAATGCACCACTTGCCCCTACATCACTCATTCCTACGAAATCATTCAGTGTGCCAGCTCGCCATTACCTCGCCCCCATTGTGGCCTTATAGAATCTCTCAAATGATACTATAAGATCCGTTAAAACATTTTCAAAATCATAAACAGTCTAAAAGTGATCACATAAGACATTTTCAGGCACGTTCATGATAGTAAACCATAATTTATAGTTTAGCTCAGATTGAGTAGATTTGTTCCAAGAAGCAGCCTCTATTAAAAGCTAGTTCTGTTAAAGGAAGAGCTCAAAACATGGTGGAAATCAGCGAACATCCACAGATGATTGAGGCACTGAACAAGAGCGATGAAGTGCCCGTGATCCTTACAGGTGACTTCAATTGCCCTTCACACATCGACTGGACTAGGGAAACCATGTGGGTTATTTTTCTCTCAATGTATTGAGAAAAAGCTAAATATCTGTTTGAATATCTGGGTGAAAATGTAGTTGGGGGGAGGACCAGCCATCCGAAGGTCTGTATATCAAGAAATGAACTCAGTCAAACGTGTTAGCCCTTA